ACATTTGCACTGAAATGTTCCAAACAAGAACAGGAGAAGAGGCGCGAATATGGAGTAGAGCTGCCTGAGTGAAGCCTCGTGTAAAGCACAGACCGATATGGAATAGCAGAAAGCTGCCGGCGGCCAGTGTGGAGAGGACGCCAAGGGTGGCATCCTCCCAGTAGCTGTTTTCCTTTCTTCCAAATTAACAGAAGCTTCATTTTTCAGCTAGGGACATGCCTGTCCAACAACTGCACTGCAGTGAGGACAGTCACATGACTGAGTTCCAGCCAACAAGGTGAAGCAGAGGAGTCCTGTCCCAGTTCTGGGGAACCTTAAAAGATGGAAAAGATGGCAGAAGCATCCATGCCTTTTGCCCATCTTTCTCTTTGTCTTTGCACTTCAGGCTGGAAGGCAGTGTGATGGGCAGCCACTTTGGGCCATGAGGACATTGGAGATGAAGGTTTTTGTAGGGCAGAGAAACAAGATAGAAATCTGGGTCCCCTGAGAGCACCGCAGAGCCAAATTAGCTCCGGAACACCTGCCTCCAGGCATGAACACGAGAGCCATACTTCTCTTGTTCAAATCACTGTTACCTGAGGTCCCTATTATCATACATGAACTTCATACTAATAGACACATGAGTATTATAGTTAAATAGTGGTAAACATCTCAGCACATCCAGTACAGAGGTGACCTTCTAAATCTTTGTACAAGGATCACAAAGAATGTGATGCATAACATCCGTCACCAGGGTTTTACAACGGCCATAACAATGTGATAGGGCCATTTCACACTCTTACTCTTGCTAAAAGGTGAAAAGACTCAGAACTTTGTCACCGGTAGGGGTTGGTGGCTGGGAGAAGTCTTTGGAAGGGTGTGTGACACCTATTGTTATACATTTAAGCACTAGGCACAGAGAAGGTCACAGATTGATTCTATGTGACCTTATAGGGCCAACTGGTAGGAGTTATGGATGATCAGATGTGGACTGGATTTAATATGAAGAATTTCTGAATAGCTACAGCTGTTCATCAGGGTGTCATCTTGAGAGTGTGAATCTTACCACCAGATACAGGGTTGGCAAGAACTTGGGAGAGTTGTCTTGAAAAGGATTTAAGGACCCATGAGGAGGTTGGACCAGATGATCTTTGCAATTTCTTTTTCTTTCTTTTTTTTTTTTTCTGAGACAGAATCTCAGTCTGTCACCTTGGGCTGAGTGCTGTGCCACAATTGTTGCAACTTCTTTTAACTCGCAAAAGATCTTTGCAAAATCTTTCAACTCTAGATTCTACAATCTAATCTCCTTAATCAGCTGCAAACTCTGTAAGGACAGAGTCCATTTCTGATTCATTTCTACAACTTTCCAAGCATTCAGTAACAAACTGATATCAAATGAAAAAAAAAGAAAAAGAAAGAATGGAGATTAGGAAGTAGCAGGAAGGGAGGAGAGGAATCATTTGCTGGGCCAGAGGATGTCTCTTTACTAAACTGCATTTTCTGCATTTGACTGCAATGGTTCCTAATTTTTCTGGGTTCCACTCAAACTTCTGAGTGTATGTTAAAAACCACAGACTCTGTCCCCAGAAAAATGCAAATAAGCTAGTAAAATTGTGCACACAAAAGATGTCCAGGATTCATGGACACCCTTGATACTTATTTATGGGCCATCTCCAGGGGCCCAGGGGCCCAGGGACCCCGGTTAGGAATGTCTGCGCTGGATGGCTAGGAACGGACTGAGCTCTGTGCAAGGTGTACTGGTGTCTCTGTTACATGTTTGTAACAGAGAAAGGAAAAAGCTGCAAATGCCTAGTTTCAGTATTAATTCAGTATTCATTATGAAAGAAATGGTTTGGCTGATGAAAGCTCCCCCTCTACAAGTGTCTTCATTCTATTTC